TATCAAAGTAACAATTACCTTAATCACATAAATAAGCTCAATGAGCTTCTTGGCAGACTTATTTAGCTTTCCATTGCCAAACAACAAGTGCAAATTCTTCATAAGCTGTACAACTTTGGAAACTGTAACAATAAACATTTTTATTCTTAGTCATTGTGCACAATAAGAAATGAACAATGCATACAGCACAGGCACAACACAACTGTTCATATATCTTACATACTGTATAAGCAATTGCAAAATGACAGATTTTGAAATATATACACTTACCCTTTCCAGGTTTTTTAGGGAGCTCCATCCTTTGCTTTGAGCAACCAAAATATAACATTACATCCAGCTCTTCTTTCAATCTCATGACACATTCATTCATAAATTTCTTGGGATCATTATTGGCAGCTTTTTCATTAATCCGGCGCACCTCTTCAATAATCTAGCAAAGATATGTTTTAACATCATATGTTTTTCGTCTGATGTTACATCATATAGCAGTGTCTATGATCATTCTTATCACAGATCACAGACATTAGATATTGTGAATACAAAATAGGATGCATTGCATGTACCATAATGTGCATAACAACAGTTTTAAAATTCAGAGGGAATGGGTTTGTTTGAAATAGCATACTAATAGAGTAACCTAAATTAAATGTTCAAAGCCAGTGTATTCTAAAAAATAAACAGCCTACCTCTACAGGGTTTTTAAAGCATGGATACAGCTCAAACAATCTTGAGCATCTTTCTGTTGCTGGCATTTTCTTGATACGGGCTCGTCTTGATTTAAACTCTTGGTTTAAGTATGAATTAATTACATTGGGCGATGGCTTGCTTTTTTGCATCTCTTTTGACAAAGAATTGTATAATCTGCCCATAATCATATCATCCATGCCATGACAGATGACTCTGAACCTGAAAATAAGAAACAATACATCAGCGAAGCCGATAAGGACATGCATTCATTACTGTAAGGACATGAATTCAAAGACAAATGGACAGACAGTACATACATACATAGATTGTTGTTCTACTTACTGTTGCTACTTCCAGCTTCAGCATTGCTCTGCTGTGCACCAGTGCTAATATCAGTCATGATTGGATCTACATCGTTGGATTGCTGGTCTTCTGGACATTCAGTGGTTTTAATATAACTGGTTATCTTGTTGCTGGCTTTTTTCTTATTGGGCCCCCGCTTGTTCTCAACTGTCTTCTTGTTATACATTCTCTTCTTCAGGCGGTTAAATAAACGTTCCTGAAACAAGGAAAATCTGTTATAAATAAAAACTCAATATCTCCAGTCCACAAAGCTAATTCACATTATTGAATAGACCTGTTGTGTCAAAGTTAACATACAACATATAGAATACTGGTAAATATGTAGTAGCTTATCACAATATTTATATATAACGCTTACATGGCCATTCACTGGATCAGATAGCAATGGATACGTCACAACAAGACTTTTTGCCATTTCCTTCAGCTCCATTGTAGTGGGCAATCGATTCCATGGGTCACACAAGGTCATGGATATCATGTTGCTGACTGTTCCCCGCACAATGTCATGGACCAAATGTTCTGGTATACTACCACTTTCCACAGCCAAGTCAACCCGTCTGTCACGGTATATAGTGAAGACTGGGGATTTCACTTGAAATGTTGCTGGTGGGGTTGCTGGAGTAGGCTTTGCTCTTTTTGTTGAAGGCCCGGCTTTTGTAAGGCCCTTATCATCTGTTGATGATGATGAGAAAGTATCATCTTCTGACAAGTCAATATGATTATCCACACAGACTGCCATATCAATTTTCGCTTTTCGACCAAAGCCTTTGTTGTTGGATGAGATTTATCAGTTGGTGCTTTCTCAGTTTCCTATTACAAAGTATATTAAAATAATTATATAGTCTAGTCTAAAATAATATTCTCTGTTGACTCTCACTTGATACTGAATACATTAACATTTTAAAAGATTGTATTAACAATATTATTTTATACCTGAGATATTACTTTCCAGATGCGTGACCGCAGTAAAATCAATTTCATACCATCGCCAGGAATAATTTCCTTTAATGCATCATAACACAGTTCCTTGACATCTTCATTTGTGAGGCCACCCTCTGAAAATAATACACAGGTTAGAAAATATAATGTAAACTACACACGCATACAAATGTTCTTAAATTTAGCAACACATGTTATAAATTTGCATGGGCAGCCAAATCTAATTTATACCATCCTGGGGCCGGTTGTTCGTAAGGCGTTTAACTTATGTCGAAATTTTAAAATACAGGGTGTCCCAAGACCATACAATAGCTGGAATTGAATGCCTAAGCACCACAAGTGGATAAATAAATGTTTGACATAAGCATTTTTATGTATGATACAAGGCAGTGAAATTTGTTTGTATACCCACAAATGACTTTTAATACCAATATGCTTTACAAATATGGATAACAATATTTCAATTTAGAACTTAAGCAACATGTTAATCTCCACAACCACTAACAATGGGTGATTTTAATAGTTTTGGGGGTTTTTTGAGTACATCTTGTGAATGACTGAACCTACATTTTATGCATATAAATGATATAATATGTATAACCATTGAAAGTTGAGCTATTTGTCCAATAAAGAGATAATTTTGCTTTCCATTTTCAGCTTATCCTAAACGCCTTTCGAACAAGCGGCTTATTAAGTACAGGCCCTGGGCTGAAATTATCCATTTGTCCTTAGTCTATTTTTAGATTCAAAATGTGACCCGTGCGAATATAAACAGGGGACCCCGAATATGACAAAATGAAGTGCTTTTAATTCTGTAAAATATGACATAGCTTTCTCAAAGAATTGTTCTATTTCCATTTATAATAGCTTAGTTTACACTCGATCGCAGAAAATATACTTTATCTGTCAATTCGTAATGATACGAAGCAAGTTAGGCGCACAAATCTGATTGCATTACGATGACGGAATCGGTATGAATATTCGTTTATATCGCGGCAAAATTTAAATTTGTATCGCGTTGCGAATTTAAACATATGTATGCGACGACAATTCTTAACTATTATAACATAAAATAAGACATATATACTTACCCTTTAAACTATCTGCGACGTCTTTATCAATCTCGGCAATTTTCCCTAGTAAATCGTTCGACATTTCTGAATTTCTTGCGATAACAAACTTCGGAGCGCGTGGTAAGTTAAGTGAAGTGTAAGTAAGCCAGTAACATGAGAAATGCGCCGCCGCACCGCCTGACCAGCGAACTCTAGACCCAACATGCTTTGCAGGGATGATTTTATAATTTGGAAAACTTCAATTTCAATTTTCAAAGTCTCTGTTATTTTACAACTTTGTTGCGAGGAATTTTCGGTTAAGAATATGCTTTTAAAATGAAAAGACACCGTCATATAAATGAAAGGCGTTGGGAGTGTAGATTGTGTAATTGTTTCCAAGCAATTTCACTACGAACGTTGCTTAATCACTATAATAAAGTTCATGGAAATGAGCCTAATTTTCAAGTAGTTTGTGGCATCGAGAATTGTCCAGCAACATTTACGAAATATAATTCGTTATACAAGCACATCACCAGATCTCATAAGGAAGTTTATGAAACTCTTGCCATCCCTCCATGAAATGTTAACAGTTCTCGTACAAGTTGTTGATGGCATGTTGAATATAGGCAGTGGTATAGATAGAATGATGGCAGTTTTTACTGTGCTGTCCAGTGAATTATCTAAATACATGGTATCTCTTCACAAAACATAACACATGTTCTAGCCAATTAAAGATGATGCAATGGTTTGAACTAGATACTCTCTGTGAAGACTATTATAAGCTTTCAATATAGCACCTGGCAATTGTGCTAGAGAAATATCTTGCATCAGGCTTATTTTTGCATTTGGTTTCCACAAGTGTTCATTGTACAGTACTGTCTAGTAATATTATGTGCACAAACCAAGTAGTATGATTAATTAAGTGTAAAATATTTTATGTGATTTTAGAATGTTGACAATATTGACATTACAAAGAGTGCTGCCTCATTTCTCTTAAAGGTGAAAGAAAGGAATAAAATACCTCAGGTGTGTATAAATACTTATTGATGAAACTTTGGTGCAGTATAGTATACCCAACCTATGTCCCTGTTTGAATAAACTAATTGGTAAATTGCTTCTAATTGCTAAACATCTAGAGTCAGTTGAACAAAAAGTGGATAGTGCTATCCACCTGATAATGTTTTTCAATCTCTCTGAAATTGCCTGTTATTTGCTATAATTCAAATATGAAGTAAAATTCAAATTGAATCTTAACTCTGTATTCCTTATTTTGTAAAGTACATAGCATGATATATAATCTCTCCTTGAAGAGTCAAATTGTGTGGTTTTAGAAAAACTGTGTACGCCTCATATAATATGATACTACAATTAATATGTTTTAGGTTGCAATGGAATCTATAATGGACAGTACACGCACACTGGTAAAGCAAGTGGTAGATTCTGTGAAAGCGGAAGTTTTAAATGTGTTAGATTCCAGTGAACAAAAAGGCCAGGTGAGAAATGTGTTTGAGTCAGCTACAGATCCTTTTTCTGGGATAGAAACCGAAGCACTACAGTCAAAGTACATCAAGCAAAACTTCAGTTATGTGGAACCAAAGGAGGTAACTTTAGGGAAGAAATTTGTTTGGAAAATAAACAGTGGTAAGAGACTTATTTCTGAGAAAAGTGAGAAATTTGTGTACATTCCAATACTTGAAAGCATAAAACAGATCCTCTCAAATAAGCGCATCTCTACTATTCTTCTGAAGAAACCTAAGTGCTGTCAAGATGGAGTATTATATGATGTACATGATGGCCTTTTGTATCAAAGTGATCACTATTTTGATGAACACGAGAACACATTGTGCATTGTATTGTATCATGATGAGCTAGAGGTGTGTAATCCATTAGGCAGTAATGCTGGGGTACACAAGCTAGACATGTACTATTTTACAATTGCCAATTTATGCCAAAGTTCAGATCCAAGCGCTGTGCTGTCCACTTATTTGCAATTGCCAATGCTGATTTGGTAAAGAAATATGGTATTAACACAGTAATGCAGCCAGTTATTGATGATTTGAACATTCTGTATCAAGGATGCAAAATGGAGATCAATGGTGTGGAAAAAGTTATCCATGGGAAGGTATTATTGTGTGCGGGTGACACACTTGGTCAGCATTATTTGGGCGGATTCAAAGAAGGTGTTGGTGTAGCTTTCCAAAAATGTCGGCATTGTCAGTGCTCATTTGAACAGATGCAGACTGACTTCTTGGAAGAAGAGTTCAATCTAAGAACAAAGGAAAACTACAGTGAACAGTTTGATGCCATTGAACAGGCACCAACTCCAAGTGTCCAAAAAGATCTAAGAACGACTTATGGACTAACACAGAGAAGTTCCCTTTGCCAGCTACCCACATTTGATGTCACACAGCAGCTCCCCCAGGATATCATGCACACTCTGCTTGAAGGAGTTGTGCAGTATGAGGTTCGACTAGTTCTTCTTCATTACCTACAATCGGGTCAAACCAGTCTATCTGAAATCAATGGAGCAATATTATCCCATGAATATGGATACTCAGAGATCAGCGACAAACCAACTCCCCTGAAGGATACTGTGTTTCATGGTGAAGAAAGATACAAGCTTAAGTACAATGCTGCAAAAGCTCGCCTATTTTTACGACTCTTGCCATTTTTCATTGGTCCTTTTGTTGACAGCAATGGTCCGCATTACCAGTTCCTCATACAATTGATTCAGATTGTTCAATTGATTTTCTCACCAGTAATTAAATTGGAGAACATTGACTACTTGGCAGAACTTATCCAACAACATCTGACCACATTTAAAGATTTGTTTCCAAACTGTAACATAATCCCGAAACAACACTATTTGCTCCATATCCCGTCTACAATTAGAATGCTTGGACCAATGGTTAGATCTTCCTGTTTCAGTTTTGAATCTGCTCATAATTATTTTAAAGAGTTGGCAAGAAAGCAGAATTTCAAGAATTTGCCATTGTCACTAGCTAAGCGCCATCAGTTCAATTTGTGCAGCAACTATGGTGATTCAAACGAGAACCCAAGCTCACATCCACTGTTTTCAACAGAAAGGGAATATGGTGTGCTAAAGAAAGCAGGTGCAGAAGTATGTTTGTCCTTGCGAGAAAGATTTGATGAACGTGGCCTTCTACCTCCATTGAAATTGTGAATGTTTACAAAGTAAGTTGGATAAAGCTTTTTGGAACAAAGTTTGCCAAGTCTGGTATTATTGCTATTGATGTTGCTGGAGACCCTGCATTGCCAGTTTTTGGAGTCATTGTGTGCATATGGTCAATTCTAGACTTTACATACTTTGATGTACAATTACTTGAGACATTATCTTTCGATGAAAAACATCAAGCTTATCGTGTTTCTGAGAGTACAGAAGATGTTACTGGAATTTATCCTTATGACAGTCTAGTGGACTTTAATGTCTTTCATTACAAGAAAGATAAAGAGAATAATAAGTATGTTGCAGTGAAATATGACCTTCGTGACATCATTGAGGAGCATATTGAAGGACGAAATCCTCTTCACTAGTGACTGGTAAGAGTTTTTAGAAAAATTTTGAATTGTACATAGTATCTTGCATGAAAGAGGCAGTCAAGACTATGTTGCTCATACAGTAATTACAATTTATGTTGCCAAATGTCACATTGTTTCAAGATTGTATGTTCTATTTGTACATATATGTTGCCATAGCTATGTTTGATCTCTAACAAAACATAGTGTGCTTTTGAAGATGGAACATATGAATAAACTAAAAATCCCATTATCAGTAAAATAAGTCTTCAAAATGCCTGAACGCTATACTAATAAAATTTGAGCATTTTTAAATGCTAAGTGTCTGACTTTTAAAAACTGTATGGAGCCACCTTAAATGAAAACTAAATAGCAGGTAGAACTAATTTACTAGATTTAAGAATGAGAATAAATTTGTTAGAACATTATTTTTGTTTCAAGAAAGTTATATTCAATACGCTCTTATTTTAAGAATTTTATATACTCCCCAAATTTACTTGATTCTTGTTTCAAGAATGTTACATTTCTTGTGAGAATATTATTCTTGTCGTATTCTTATTTCAAGAATTTTGTGTTCTCCACAAATTTACTTGATTCTTGTTTCAAGAATGTTACATTTCTAGCAAGAATATTATTCTTGTCTCAAATTTACTTGTCTTGTTTTAAGAGAAATAATTCTTAGCAGAAATATTTTACTTATTTCAAGAATTTCAAATTGATACTAAGAATAGCATTTCTCAAAATAAGTAATATTTTACTTAAAACAAGAATTTTGCAAGAATATTTTTCTTGCAAGAATATCCAATTTTGCTGTGTACATATATACATTGGCGTTT